CCTTTAATCATCATCATGTTATTGGCATTAAACTATTTATTTCATTTGGACTAATAATCTTTCGTATAAATTAACCATTAACAAACAATGTCATTTTCATAAATTTTTCTTTATAATAATAGTAGTGACATGATCTGTCATATAGCAAACTTTTGACAATGCGTATTATTATTATTATTATTATTATTATTATTATTATTATTATTATTATTATTATTATTATTATTATTATTATTATTATTACTTATTATTATTATTATTATTATTATTATTATTATTATTATTATTATTATTATTATTATTATTATTATTCTCATAATTATGATATACTTTCGACGAGCACCTGCTATAAAACTATTGTTATGGAATATTTTAAACAAATCTGCTGAAAATATATGCGAGAAAGTTATTCACAGAATAAATGTTTAAATAAATAATTTGTGATAGCTGCAAAATGTGATATCATTCTTAAAGCAATATTTAATGCATGAAAATTTAGTTCCATTATAAAAGAAATCATTGTTTATGTTTGTTGTTGGATTAGTTTAATAACATAATAGTTCGATTAGAGAATGCAAATATGCATTAAATATATTTTCTATTGCTATGCAAAACAAATAACATATTGTAATTAAATTCAAATTGTATAAATATAAGCAATATACGACACGGAGAGCATAAATTATTGTTTATTTTTCGTCTTTTTTAATGCATATGTTTATATTGTTTTATTAATCAAAAGTATATATTATAATTAACTTAATTTAAAAGAACAGCAATGTATACTATTCTTAAATTATCATTAATGCGCATGTTGTTATTACGATATTAATAATCAAATGATATTATGGTTAACACAATTTTGGAATATATTAAAATTAAGAGTAGTCACTACTAAAAGAAGGGGGAGATGATAAAAGATAAATAAACAAATAAATAAATAAAACAAATAACTAAGGGGATGGAAAAAAATAAGACGAGATAAATTTGAAATTGAATAATATATTCAGTTAAATAATAGAAATAATCATCAATTACAAGTCTTTATTCTTTTAATTTGAATACTTTTTAAAGCAGAAAAAATTTTTTGCCTTTTTATTGCAAGGACAGATGTGGTTTAAATGAGAATTTTAATTATTTAACAAGTAACTATAATATTTGCATTAGGACATTATCGATTTTTTGTTTTTAGTGCAATTATATTTTGATTATTAATTTTTTATTTATTTACTTGCTTAATTAATATCTTTACCTTTTTCGCTTCTTAAAACGACTCCTTTTCTGTTTGTTTTTCCCTCTTTTTCCCTTTCCTTTATATTACATTTTCAATAAATTATTGATTGCTTTCAAGGAATTGAAAATTTTTTTAATAAAATTATTGGTATTTTTAATAAAACTGTTGATTTCTTTCAAAAAATTCAAAATCATTTCAATAAAATTATTGACATTTTTAATAAAATCATTGATTTCTTCAAAAAATTGCATGAAATTTATATCAAAGTTACACAAACCGCGGTGTCAATGTGATTATCCTTCAATGTTTTAGGAATGTATGAAACGAATGGTAGAAATCAGACCAAATGATTTCAAAATAAATGACTGATTGGTTGGGATTTCAATCATAAATCAATGGTTGCGTAAAGTAGATATTAAAAAATAATAATTTGAGCAGTTAAGCTGAACGAAGTGTTAGAATGACGGATAAATTAAATGGAAATTGAATAGTGTGAGGGAGGGCAGAAGGCTTAGCAATTCGATATGCGCGATCCCATAGGATAGCATTACGAGTCGCACTTTCCGCTTCAGCTGATCAAAATATGAATATATTAGATCCTCTATGACACTATCGTTTTGGTGTTATTCAATTTAAAAAAAAAAAAAAAAATAAGAAAAAGAAAAGAAAAAGAAATCCAAGTTTTCCAAAAAAAGAAATGCAAGATGTTCCAAAAATTTAATAATTTAAAGATGCACTTTGAAAAAGAAACCTTTTTGAAATTTCGATTATCGAATTGTCTTCATTCTAGCAGTTTTTTTTTTCCTTTCATTTTCGATAATTTGATATATTATTAGAGAAGAACGACTATATATATAACTTTTTTTTTTCTATTCGATACATTTTTTTGCTTTCAATGCTACAAAAAAATTTTTTTTAATCTCAGAAAAAGATTCATTGTGAAATTATTATTGATTAGTTAGGATTTCTAACATTGAAAAAGGATAATTTTTATTGGGTTAACATAAGATCGTTCCATTATCTGAGATTTGTAAAGAAATAATTTAAATTACGTAGTTTCTGCTAGGCAAAACCAAAGAAAAGTTCAACCATTTTCAATTTTTTTAATGCTAAAACAAAACGGTCACTCATCCATCTCGCTTAATCCTTGTATTAACTGATATCAATTACTTTGAAAATTAATTGCTACCAAGTAAGTTAGATGCAATAAATTAATAAGAAGAATTCAGTTCAAACTTCTGTTTTTTCAAAACAACTTATCAAAATTGTTTTTTTTAAGCGTATGCCTTAAAATCTTAATCTAAATTTTTCAAAATATACAGCTTTTAAATGAAAAGATCTGTACCTAACCCCTTCCAAAAAAAATTAGCACAAATTAATTAAGATGAAAAATTATGTAAACTTAGTTAAAATCATGCTAAAATATATTTTATTTTATAAAATTTTTCTTATAAAATACATTTTATACTTAAAATGACTCACTCAATTAATATTTAAGACTAAATGATAAGAGATTAAATAAGAAGTATGCAAGTAATGGAGAAATTATGCGATTCAATTTCGATCTTCTAATTTATTCCAATCGCTGTTAGTTTTTTTAATAAATGTGAGTTGACAAATGCGACATTACGATTGATAAATACACTAAGATCATATGTTTGTTTAAAATATGCTGTAATATGGCATT